AGCCAGCTACAACCAAAACAGATTTACACCCAAGCATGTAAGAATCAAGATGCCAGAAAATCATCACAAAAAGAGAATATTAAAAGTGGTCAGACAAAAGAAACAGATCACCTATAAAGGAAAACTCATCAAAATCACAACAGACTTCTTGACACAAACTATCAAATCAAGAAGAGCTTGGAGCAAAGTATTCCAAGCCCTGAAAGAATATACATCAACTCAGATTGATGTACCCTGAAAAACTGTCTATCAAAATTAATGGAGAAACAAGATGTTTGCATGACAAAGAGGAACTGTGGGAGTTCATGACCACCAATCCAACCCTACAAAAAATACTGAAGGACATTCTAGAGAGAAAAAAATCACCAGGATTCTAGCAACAGTGGCAGAGAGGCCTCAATGAACAGGGTAGACAATGGAATGAAGGAGAAAAGTAGACAACCAACAGTAGAAAAATAACATAGCAGATATGAGGCAGAGAAGACTGGCTATAATCTCTAACACAGATGGCTTTGACACACTAACAAAAAGAAACACAGGCAGAGTAAATCAGGAGATAGTATCCATCGAGATGCTCTGAATAAGAAATATAATCTCCCTGAAAGAGGGCTAGTGAACTGCAAGTCAAAGATAGAGAAAACAATGCTCTACAGGGAACCAGAGAGAAATGGGGACAGCATGTCCAGCAGCTGCAGATAGGTTGGAAAGTCATGACACTTTTGTGCAGAGGAGAACTACTCAGCTGTAAGGAAGAAAAACCTTGAGGCCTTAGTAGGTAAAGGAATACAGCTCAAGATCAAGCTCCGGGGTAAAAAGGTTCAGAACCATGCATAGAGCAGCAGGTTGCTCCCTTAATCTAAAAAACTAAAGTAGTTAGTGGGACCCAAAACATACAAAGCTCTCTGACAAAGCACTCTGAGAAAGAGAAAGGGGAGGAACTGTCTAAAAAAGAAAGGCAGAAGACATTGTTAATAGTGTATCAGGATTTAAAAAGCTACATTAGTCTTACTGCTCTGTTTAGTTTGATTTTATTCTGTTCTAGTCTGTCTACTTGTACATTTGAGGGCAGGGACAGCTATTCCAAAAATAGCAGGATACACTATGGTAACTATCCTTAATTTCCTATTAACTTAACCTGAAGCCCTACTGATACTGATACTGCCTTACTATGGTTGATCTTATTTGAATCTGGTTTGTTAGATCACTGTTTTTTTTCCTGACTGATTATATTTGAATCTGGTATGCATGATAGTATCAAGTCTAAGAGTAGAGGCAACTACTCTGAAGAAGACAAGATGCAATAGGATATCCATTCTGATTTGATTATTAACTGCTTTTGAAGTCCTATAATGTCTCCAATGATTTGTTTTTATTAATATTCAGATGCAGTGCTATGTTCAATTGTATTATGCCTGATGATATAGACAATTCTATTAAAAATAACAAGAGACATCGTAAGAACTACCATAGATCACCTACTATTGTGGTTTTGTATGTCTTGTTTATTTCATGTTTTTCTAGGAATTTGCTTTGTTGTCTTGTTTTGATTTATTTACCTTCTAATACAGAAAGGATAGGTATACGTGCAGAAATTCATACATGTGTAGAACTTCTAAACAGTTTATGAGAATAGATGATATACCACACGATGTAATGAACAGATATTCTGAAGAAAAAGAGAAACTAAGATACCCAGTGCTAATTCCGTAGCATAATGATAATAAATCTAGCAATACTATTATTCTCTGTCCAGAGCGATAATAGTCTGTTTTCTTTTGTTTAATTTCAACATGCGTAAAGATATGAACAGCTATTTCAAAGAGAACAAGAGATATTATGGCTGCCACTGTTGACTTCCCTATTATCTGGTCTTGAAGACCTAAAATGCCTTCTTCATCCTGTTCTGATCAGTTTAGTACTATTTTGTTTGGTGTGAATTCACTGTGTGTGAAGATATGGACAACTATTTGGAAGAAAACAGACGATATGATAGACAGTGAAGATCTCTGGTGGTCTTGCTTTGAAATCTGTGTTTCTTAAATTGTTTTCGTATGATCTGTTTTGTTATGTTTAATTTTACCCATTTTAAAATAAAACAAGTATTTATCTGGTGTAAGTAGCATCATTAGTAGGAAAAAAAGTTCACATACAAAGTAATATGAGCCTAAGTATAAATTATTTCTTTTGGAATTGATGATATATTTTAAATATAAAAATATGAAAAATTATAAATTATGGTTTTATAGAGCATCTCCAGAAACACTAGCTTATTCTCATGGTAACAGCTAAAATATGAATTTAGTCAATGCTTGTTATGTGTGATCTATATATTTTCTTGCATTTGATTTAAATAGTTCTATATATTACTCTTCTAAATTTATCACAATAGAAATTAAAATATTAAAAAAGTAAATAACATACTGAAAGTTGTACTATTAATGAACATCAAGTACCAGATTTGAATCCAAGGTTGTCTGACTTTAAAGTCCACATAATTGAGACATTAACAACTGTAATACGCAACATTAAAAATAAAACAAAGCCACAAAACTTCTACACAAACAATACCCATCTTTCAAGCTACAGAAAATATGATCTTTACTTCAATGAATTATTCTAATACTAAATCCCCTATAATGAGTAAAAACTCATCAAAGTGGCAAGAGGTAAGGATCTAGAAACAGAAAAAGTATTTCATTAAAAAAGCCAATATTGAATAAAGAAAATGAATGGAAAGTAAAATACTTCAGCAGCTTTAAACACAAAAGCCAGATCACTTACTTTAGAGCCTTGCTCAAATTCTCCAACAAGTAATTAAAAACTAGACAGTATTGCAACATTTTTTCATGTATTTCTAACATAAATAGATTACAAAAAATGTATATTAATTTTGTAAGAACTTTAATGTGAGTCTCACTCATCTGGAACAATTTAATGTTGACTAAAAAGATGACACATCCTACTTCGAGTTTTCATTCATCTTTATGAGCTGATGACACACGCATAAACCAAAAATTCTATTAAATCTTTGTTTAGTTAAAAATCTATACTCTTCAAACGGGAGAAATTCCAAAATAGCTTTTAATTCTATTATTGATCCACATACTTTTCTATACTAGTCACCTTCATAACTTCAAATAACTGAATTCTACATTACTGCTATATGGCATCACCTACAAAAGAACACACCTTAGACATCAGGGCTTTGAAACAACTGATGAAAAAGTAATAATAGATAAGAATTCCAAAACAGCACATCACTGAATCAGAACACCACCTTAGAATTACACATTGCTTCTAAAGAAGACAGTGATTTCTTTTCTACTACTTGCTTTCTATTAGCTGTAAATTAAGATTACACATATGCCACTAAAAAAGTAGAAATTAGTAATTACAAGGAAAATTAAGGTGAATCATATAAAATAACTAACAAATAAAAATCTGCTGTACAAAATAAATATAATCTAAATACCAAAATAGTTTAATAGAAATACTGAAATGAATTTTGAAGACAATAAAAAAAAAAAAATCCCCGTGTCCTGAATGTGTGGACTAGATAACATGTTCAGCATGTTTACAGCACTAATATTTTATAATAACTATTTATGAAGAAAAAATTAAGATGATTTAACAGCATTTCAAACAAAATTATTCTATTTACTAAGCCAAAAAATTTATTTCAGATATTAAACACCATGTATTTTATATCAAGTCATAAGGAATACTTAAGATATACACAGAGATCATTAAACAGTATTTACTAGGCTTTAAATTACTAAAAATTGTGTACTGTTTCACTGAGATAAAAAGTACCAAAACATTTTTAATTTAAATGGAGGACTAGGATTTAATCTTAGGCTCTCTCAATAAGCTGGTCTGCCCCCAATAAAATTACTTAAATTGTCACAACAAAGTGATACTATGGTAGGCCATGACCTCAGGGTATCTTTTTACTTGAGAGTTTTAGTTTCCAAACTTCCAGACTTTACATTACACTGATATAAAAACAAATCAGATCTATAAATGGGAGCTGAATGTTATAACTGCACAGATCACATTTATATTTAAATTTATACTTTACAACAGTCTTAACAGAGGGACAATATTATTAGTTATACTAAAATAGAATGACAATAACAATTTCATTTATATGCAAAAATCGTGTATTACATTTCAATGGACCTTAAATATTTTCCATAGCTTCATTCAATAATCTTTCCATCAACAAAAAAATTAAATGACTTGTGAAAAATCTTATATGTATCTGTACATATTAATGAAGTATTGCTATATTACTTTTTGACTAAAATTTTCTATTGATCTATATAATTTCTCCTGCAAAATCCAAAACTGTACAATATACATACTTACAGTTGTTAAAGTTTGTATTTAATTTCACATATAATTCTAAGATATGACATTAAATCAGAATTTAATAGGTACTTCTTTGTAAGGTTAATGGAAGTTATAAAATATGTACATAATATTCAACCAGATTAAAAGTACCTAATGTTTACATACATATGCATATGCCATTTAGTACTCAAAAACGAACAATATTTTTAAAAAGCTGAGGTTAATATTGTGCTAATCTTAAATAATTTTAATAGAATTATAAAATAAGACCTCTCTTTAAAATATAAACTAGATAATTGTTATTAAACAATACGTTGCAATAATTTCCTACAACTATACAGGGAAAACTGTAAGTATTAGCAAAGAACAAGGTCAGGACTAAGAATTCACGTCAACTTTTTAATCACTATGTTACACAAAATAAGAATTTTTGGGTTTTTTAAGGAAGTAATTATTTTATGGTACTAAGAATCTAAGTGTTGTGGTTGAATTTATAGTGTGTAAATATATATTTGACTTAGTTCCAAAATAAGTTTGTATTACCACTTCAAAGTCAAAATTCAAGTGATCTAATACATTACATAGCATTCAGTAATCTAAGAGTATAAAAGATACCAACCATTGTACATTCAAAGAAAACTTACCAGACAGTTGTTTCCACTTGACTGTCATTGAGTTGTCGATTGTCCAGTTGAGCAAAAAGTGGAAAAAGCACTTGAATTCCTCCAATTGAGTGAATTGCACTATGAATTGAATGTGTTACTATAGCTTTCACATCCTATATTCAAAAACAGAAATGTTTATTAAACAGTTGTGGTATTATTTACATTAATATTTCCTTGTTCCAAACAGTCTTATAATTAAATAACATAGCCTCACATTTAAGAGCCCTCAATTGTATGATTTTTTGATACACATATACATATAAATTCTAAAAATAAAGATTATCTTTGCTAATGGTTTCTAATTTTGAAATCTAGAAAGATCTTTAAACTTAAAATAAAAAGATAAAAATCAAGTTTTAGTGTGGAATAAGATTATTAATGAATTTAAGGATAACACTTCTCATAATAGCATCCAAAAAATAGAAAAAAATACTTAAGAATTAATTTAATGAAGGAAATAAAAGACCTTTACATGGAAAACTACAGTACTCTATAAAACGAGTTTGAAGAGGTTATGAAAAACTGGAAAGATATCCCTGGTTCTTGGACAGGCAGATCCAACACAGCGAAAATGTCCATACTTCCAAAACTGTTACACAGACTTAATGCAATTCCAGTCAAATCACAGAAGTATAGAAAATAATCCTAAAATTCATTTGGAACCAAAAGAGACCTAGAATAGCAAAAGCAACTGTGGTCAATAGAATTGAGCAAAATTCAGGTAATTTTTATGTTTGAATAGTACATTCTAAAAACAAAGTACATCTTTATATTTACCAATTATATCTTCAAAACTGAACCATTTTAGTTTAAAGGAAAGGCAATATATTAATGCATTTTGTCTCCCTTCCCAAAAAAATAGACAAAATCTAGGTTTAAATAATTTGAAACAGCAATGATAGATTTATAAATAAGTAAGGTTTAAAGCATAAACACACTGCTGATAGTAACATAAAACTAAGCTACTGTTCACCTACCTGGAGCATGAGAGCATGTGGGGAATGCACAAAAATGGATGCATTTTCCTTTGGTGATGATTCCAGGCAGAGCTGTGCATCAGTGGCCTTTGCATTGTATGTAAAGGCAATACTACTTGCAAGTTTCCCATCATACAGAACCTGTTTATGATGTTCTGCCAAATGAATATCACTTTCAGATTTAAACTTGAAGGTACTCTGCAAAAATAAAACTAATATAAGTACTCATTTTAAAAGTAACATAGTAAAATTCTATGAAATTCTAAAGCAGAGAAACAATTCCAATCACAATTTGTTGTATCCTTTCCATTTAGATAACACCAAACAGAGGTAGTACTTATTTTATTACTTTCATTTTAATTCTGGGAGATTAAAATTTTATTACATTAATAACAATACTCAGATCCTCATATTGTCACTTTAACGATTTGGATTATCTGTAAAATAATTTTATTATAAAAATATAAAATCACATGACCTTAATTATAATAGACTTTTAATATTTCACAGTGTAAATTTGTGTTAATATTTTAAAGTATTTATATAAACAGTTCCTAAGAAATGAATTATTTATGTAGAAAATGACCATAATTTGAGATTGAAAAAAGTGAACATTTAAAAAATTTGTATCCTTACCAAAAGTTATGAACATGTTGAATATCAGTACTACAAAATATATCACAATACTTACTTGAAGTCATTAAAATGGGTTATTACTTTTTATGAAAGATACGAATTAAAAGATGTGCCAACTGTAATTAGTAAAGCATTGTTAGAAGTGGTTAAAACTGCTTGAGATATGAATCTTTAATATTCATAACATTTAAAATTTCTAATAACATGAAATCAATATAACTATTTTTGGCTACACAGCTATCAAAACCTAATGCTATAGAAATTAAGATCTTGATAGAATGGATAAAAGATATAATCCCAAACCTTCTGCCATAGAGTCAATATTAAATGATTGACAGGAAATCATCTGAATTATAATCCTGACAAAACCTAATGATATTCTTTTTGTTTAGAAAATCATGTAATTACTATGGCTCCAAGTTCCTTACTCTACTGTTATAATAGAAGTTAAACTAAATGTTCTATCAACTTACTATAACAATAGATATGTATACACAAATAAAGAGTACCACATTGAAACCTCCTCAAACTAGACAATTCTTCTATAATGGCAAAGAGTAAATAAGAAATTGGGATTTTTCATAAAATGGATTAATTTTTAAATTAAATTCAAACACTTTAATAAACAGTTGACCAAGTATGTTAGATCCCAGAGGGCAGTTTTTCATTTCTGAATTAGCATCTAGAGCCATACACCAAATAAGAGCAGTGTGAATAATTAAAACTTTCCCTATATGTACTTATCTTTAACATATACATTGGTTAATTGTCATCTTTTGCATATATAGACTTTAGCTCTCTCGGTATAAGAAATAAAATTGCATTACTTGGATCAGACCTTTTGTTCTTTAATCAATTAAATGGAATGCACAACATTACCGCTAGCCTCAAAGTTTCAAAATTTAATTGCTTTGTATAATTCAAAAGTTCACATTTACTAAGCTAAATTAAATTCAAATTGTACCCTGATATCTCCTTTGTCCTTTATTGTGCATTACAATAGAAAATTGACACCAACAATTTCTACAAATAATAGATTAGCAAAAATATGAGGTTCAGTAAGTAGTAATACTGTCAATATAAAACACATTAGTTGTACTGATTTCTAAACCAAAATTGTAATATGCCCTTTCAAAATATCATAAATGCTCACAAAGTACAATATTGGTGTTTCTAATGCAATTGTTTTAAAGCAAAATTTAACAAGTATATTAGATTTTTGGTTTAGACTGCAAAGCAAAGCACTGGTCAGAAAAGAATTAAGAGTACCAAAACACAAATTAATTTGTACAAATTATTTAACTTAGGTAATTTAGGAAAAAGATACACAGGAAACTGAGAAGCTGCAGAAGCTAAACCAGTAAGGTGAGAAAAGACTGTAAGAATTTAATGAACAAAGGGCAAAACTGGAGTTAAATCAAATAGAACCAAGCTTCCCTCTTACATTACCCTAAGAAAAGCCATGTAAAACCTTTGGAAGTACTAACCAGAGATGGAGCAATGTATTTTCTATTTAACAGAGACACCTTAAACAAAGTAAAATCTGAAGAGAACTTTATACAGCAGAGTAAGATGAAGACTAATTATGATTATGCTTGAAAGGGTTTGAAAAGGGGCTTGCACACTAGTTTCTGTATGTTACCTAACTGCAGATTTCCCCATTGTTGACAGCCAATGCGAGAGGGATATATGCAATTTTCACCGTAAATACTATGCATTATAATATCTCAGTGAAAACACAAGTATACAATAAGACTATTCCAAAGCACTATGTATGAATCACATATCCAAGAATCAGAATGTTCTACCTTTAAAAAAGGATTTTTAGTATACTTTCCTATGGGAAATTAATATTTTCCCTCTTAATTATAGACATCTTAATTATTTATTTGATGAAATGTGTTTGCTAACAAATTATATAAAAAGCTTAAGATATTTAAAATTAAGTCAAAACAATTACAGTCCCAAAATATGAATTTAAGATGTTTCATACAGATTTTTAAAATACAGTATTTTAGCAACTGCAAAAGATAATTCATTGTTCCTATCAGGCCACACATATAAACATTGCTTTTTTCTATATAGCTACTAAAGTGATAATATCCATGAAATATTAATGAGCTTAAATTTCACTAATAAAGAACTATTTCAAATTTAAAAATATATTAATATAAGACATACCAGGAAAACACCACAAATTAGACGACTTGTGTGCATAAAACATACTAAGCTTATAATTTGCACATAAAAAGTAAAACAGAAAAGGAGCTCATTTACAAGAACTTTCAAAACAGATTGCATTCTAAGAATTTATTTTGCTATATAAAATCATATGTATTTTATGAATTAAAAATAAATTGTCTAAAAATAACAAAAATAAAACTTAAAAATTTAAATGAAGGGCTGGGGGTTTGGCTCAGCGGTACAAGTGCCTGCATGGCAAGTACAAAAAAAAAAAAAGAATTTCTAAAATTGTCCAATATGGCACCACATGATTCTTATTGCAGGAGCTGGGGATTTAGTTCAGCGGCATAAGCGCCTGCCTTGCAAGCAGGCAGTCGTGAGTTCAGTCCCTGGTACCGATAAAAAAGAAAAAGACAAAAAAAAAAAAAAAATGATTCTTATTGCAGTTGCATATAATTCACATGTAACCTAAAATTGTTAATTAGTATGTCAAAATCAGAATGCATAATACATTGAATTCATAGTTGCAATGATCTGTAATATATATTGTTTTAATGCTGAAGGGTATAAACATCAGACCATCAGAAAAATACAAGTTACAAATAGAATGCAAAGCAAATTAACAAAGAATGAGATAAAAATTGTTGCTAAGATCATTTATACAATTTTAAATCTAAAATTATGATCTTAAATTTTAAACTCTTCAAAAGCTTAGACATATCAAAGTCTCATCTTGTAACAGATTCTATGTCAGAAGCAACCACATTTACCTGGTGCCTAAAAGGTAACACTTTCAAAGCTTGTCATAATATACTGCCCATAATTTTAGTTTAGATTGGCAAGGCACTAAATCTGTGTAACGATTTTGGTAGTATGACCATTTTCACTGTGTTTGTTCTATCTAAGGAAAAGGGATAGCATTCCATTTTCTGTTATCCTCTGAAACTTCCTTTTTCACAGTTATGTAGCTTTCAATGTAGAAGTCTTTTTATGCATTAGGTTGATTTGTAGGCATTTCATTTTTTGTATGTTACTGTGAAAGGTACTGTTTCCCTAATTTCTCTCAGTGACTTTTTTTATTGTGCACAGGAAGTCCATTGATTTTTTCAGTGTTGGCTTCGTATCCTGCTCTGCTACTGAATTTTGTTATTAAATGTAGAAGATTTTTGGTGGAGTTTTAGGGGTCTTTTATGTACTGTATCATGCCATCTTCAAATATGGTAATTCATTTTTTCCTGTACTATCACAATTCCTTTTCTTTCTCTTCTCTAGTTACTGTAGCTAAGTTACCAGAAATATACTGAATAACAGCGGTGACAGTGTATGTCTTTGCTTGTTTCTAACTTTTGAGTAAAAGTTTTCAATTTTTGTCCATTTAATATGATGTTGGCTGTTGGTTTGCCATAGATGTCTTATCAGAATGAGATACAGAATATCATTTTGGAGTGCTGGTTTGATGATTGTGAATTTCCTCATATGTCACAGAAGTATCGTATTTTGCTACCAATTCTGAATGATACTTTTGCAGGGTAAAGCAATCTAGGTTGGCAACCAAATTTCCCATTAGGGCTTGAGACACTTCATTCTAAGCTCACTTTCTCTTGAGGGTTTGGTTGATAAGTCTGCTATTTCAGATGGGCTTTCCTCTATAGGTGATTTGTTTCTTTTCTCTAAAAGTGTTATGTTTAAGTTCTAGAATTTTTTATTTTTAAAAGAATAAAACAAAACAAAAGATTCAATAAAAAAGTGAAAATGAAACAACTTCAAAACAAAATAGGAAATCAACAATGGCTGCCATAATGCCTGTTGTTATCTTCAAAATAGCTGCCTATATCATCAGATCTAACAAAGTCAACCAAAACAGAAACAAATTAAAGTATCAAAGCAAAACAATGAAAACAATACAAGACTTCAAAACCAGATAACAGAGAATCAACAATGATTACCATAGTATATCTTGTTATCTTCGTAATAACTGCTCATACCATCAAACATAAAATCATATAAAACAGAATAAAATCAAACCAAACAAAACTGATGAAAATGATACAGGATGTCAAAACAAGACAACAGAGAATTAACAATGGCTACTACCTTCCCTTTTAAATGATTTCTACCCTTTCAATTTCACAGTATTTATTGTACATTTTGGGTCTCACTAACTTCTTCAATGTTTCATACTAGGGAGACAATATGATGTTGACCTGTGTGAGTTCAAACCGTTTCACTCAAGAGCAGGATCACACAAGTTGCATCACAAAGCGTTAGCTACAAAAGCCTAGTGATTATCCTTCTTGGGTTTTTTTTTTTTTTTTTTTGGGGGGGGGTACCGGGGATCAAACTTACGTCATTGAGCTAAGTCCCCAGCCCAGATTATC